CCCCAAAAAAGGGCTGAGGATGTAGCTCAGGGCAAAGGCCCAGCACCCCTTCCCCCAATGATGAGGTCTGAATTTACTTTTTTTTTCTATCCTTTAATTCAATATAGGCTTCAGCACAAGATGAGGCTGCAAATTCTGCTTGCTCTCTAGAAACAAAATTACCTTCAGTTTTCCAGATCTTTCCCCCTCCCTCCCAGTACTGGTGATTGAATCCAGGGCCTTCCCACTGAGCCTTATGCCAGCCCCTTTTAATTTTTGAGGCAGAGTCTCTCAGGCTGGGCTTGAACTTGAGATCTTCCTGTCTCAGCCTCCCAAAGTGCTAAGGTTACAGGGATGTGCCACTACAACCAGCCAGATCTTTGATAGACAAAATTAACAGGCTTTTTTTTTTAACCTGAAGCTTAAAAAAAAAACAACCTCTAAATCTCAGTTTAACTTTCTTTTAAAATCACTATAAAAGTAAAAACATAGATTTACTAGAATTAGCTATTAATAATTTTTTATATAAATGCTAATTACATTCACTAAAACTCCAATTCGATGAATTTCTGTCACTACTGAAGGAACTCATTGGCATAAAAAAAATCTTACCAAGCTTTCACACAGGACAATCTATCATTTCTTAAAGGGATGTGAAAAATGCACCTAATCTACAAATCAGGCAAGCCTCATATATCATAGACTCCTTTAACAGATAGTCACTTGAAAATACTTCTTAAAAATACGAATTAGAAATCTCCATAATAATTAATATATCACACAAAATAAAGAAAATCAGTAAGTACCTGAACTGAAGTGGCTGATTCCTGTAAATGACCACTAGCAACTGTTCTTCTGGAAGTTGCCAAAGGGGCACTGCGCATCTTGGGGGTTCCCAGAGTCTCAATATTTTCATCTGTCCTATGTGACTGGCAGACTTCCTTTCGATGATGAGCTTCAGTAGCCTGTTGGTCTCCAAAAGCAGCCCAAGAACAATCATCTTTTTGTTCATCCTCAAAAGCATTCCAATCTACAACTTGGCTAGGACCAGCTGAACTGAAGTCCGCAAAATCATCAGAGTCTTGAAAAGCATTGCAATCATCTTGAATATTTGGCACAGAATCAAAATCTCCAAACTCACTGTCTTGCCCATTTTTCAGTTTTGAAACAGGTTCTGTGCCAGCTTCACTTGACTTTCTTGCCATCTGACATTCCTCTGATAAACTATCAGAAGTATGTTTTAGGTCTGACTCACTAAATACCATTTCCTCTTGGCAAGAAGTAGCATTTGTATCCCCAAATTCTCCAAAGTCATCACCTGGTTCACTGAAATGTGGAAAGTGCTCTAAAGACTCTTCAAAAGTGGTATCACTCATTGAATCTTGAGTACCAGTAATGAGGGGTGGAGTGGTGCCACTGGCTGTGCCAAAATCACCAAAATCATCCTCATTGGTATCACTGCAAGTTACAAACTCATGACTGCTTTCACCATTTTTTACACTTACAAAATCACCCAAAACATTTTCTTCTGTGGGATCAGTGCTTAGGGTTTGGGAGTTAGTAAACTTTTTTTCTTCTTCGGAAGAATCAATTTCATCAGCATCAGAAGTTTTAATAAAATCCATGCATAGGTCAGCACATTTAGCAGAAAATAAATCAAGTTCTTCCTTAGTTCTACACTGTTCTCTAATGGCTTCTGAATCATCAGCTGAGTCTACCAAACTCCATGACTTTGATTGCAGTGTTGGAAGGCCTTCTTTTTCAACACTGAAACCTCTGTTAGACACTATGCTTATTTCTGAAACACAAGTATCCTCTCCATCAGTATCTCCTTTATCATCAAAGCTTCTATCCAAAGACACTCCTTTTATAGAATTCACTTCATCAACTCTGTTAATTTTGTTGTTTTCCTGAACAGTTAGTGTACCTCTATCATTTAAAACTGCACAGCTTATTTCTTCTAGTTGTATTCTTTCCTTTTTGGAAAATGTAGCAAAATCTGCAAATCCTTCAGCAGGGCTAGGCGCAGAGTCTAAATTATACTCAGTGCTAGGAGTGCTAAGAGGTTTCTGTTCCTCTGAATCAGCTACACTGTCCAGATCATCTGTTCCATGTGGATTTACAGTTCCCAACCCTGTAAACCCATTTGTTAGAACCTCTGGACAAGGAGGCTTTTCACCATTGCAGTTCTCTAACTGTTTGTTTTGATGAACTATGTTAGTATCAGTTCTAAAATCTCCTAAAGAAAAACTTTCAGGTGTTCCAAGATTCTGTTTCTGCTCTACTACTTTATTTAAATCTCCTGGACTTTCCATGCCATCAATGGAAGTATCTAAAGTTTTAGATGAAATTATTTCTTTGCTGGTGGTTGAAAGTAAAACATCAGACTGTCCTTTCACAGGAGTAGAAAGTTCAGCAGTGATTTCCTTATCATTACCATTTTTCATGGACTTAAAGCTTGTAAGGCTATCTACATTTTCTGAGAAATCATGAATTGGCATAAAATGATTTGAAGGTATAAACTCTTCCTTGGAATGAGTAAAATCTGGTGCATCAAAGTCGACGAACCCTATGCCAGAAGGGCTAACTTCTGAAAATCCACCAAATTCCCCAAATTCGTCATCGTCATCATCCTCTGCTCCATTATCTAGTGGTGGTGGGGATGAAGAGTACATTCGAATTATGTCTGGCTCCATTTTTCAGTTGCTTTCAAATAATTAATTTATACCTATAAAAAAACATTTTTTTGAGAAGACATTATATACAAGGTCTTTCAAAATTCAAAGCTAAGTAAAAACAGTTCAAATTCATACTCCCTCTTTTGTATCTTTTAAACTATTTTTCTCTTAGGTGAGATTTTACACAGCATTATTTTTTTTTCTTTAACCAGATGTTGCCAGAGGCAATGGTAATATATTAATGAAATTTGGGAATTCCAAAAAACTTTGAATGTACACTTAAAAATTTTTCTCTCAGGTACTTGCTTATTCTGTTGAATTTTCTTTAAAAAGCACTGGCAACTCAGTGCTTTCCTTATATGTTTGTATGAGTTATTCATATACAAAAAAAATGAAAATGTTAATTTTAATTAAATTGCTACAATATTTTCTTCACTTTTTCAATGTTTATTTCTGACACAAGTTAACTTTTTAATAACTAAACTTTTGAAGAAGTTTAAAGCTCACAAGAAATTGCAAAAATAGAGTTCTCATGTATATTCCACCCAGCTTCTCCCAATGGTGATATAGTAAACTACCACAATACAGATGTTCTTTGACTTACACTGGGATTGCATAAACCCATCATAAATTGAAACTATCATTTTAGATACAGAACATTATAGTTTAGCAATACAGCACACTGTAGAGTAGTAGTGGCAGTTTATCCCTATTGTGGCTTGCTGCTGTTCATGACTAAGTATCCTACCTATTGCATATTGTTAAACTGAAAAAAGACTAAAATTTGAATTCCAAGTACAGTTTTGACTGAACACATACTGCTTTTAGACCATCCTAAGACTGAAAAATTCTAAGCAGAATCATCATAATCTGGGACCACGTGTACATGGTCAAACCAGAAAATGCGCATCAGTACAGTATTAACTCAGATGCAGTTGTTTAGATTTCACTTTTGGGGGGAGTGTCTGTGTGTAGGTTTATAAAATTTTATCAAATGTGTAGATTAATCATCACTACAACTGATAAAAGAACTGTTCCACCAACACAAAGGAACTTCCTCACTTTGCCCCTAAATAATTACACTTTTTCCTAAATTCTGACTCTTGGCAATCACTGATTTATTTTGCATCATTATAATTTTGCTAAAGAATGTTTTATAAATGGAGTCATATAATATGTAGCCCATTGAAGCTGGCTTTGTTCATTCAGCCTCATGCCTCTGAGAGCCATCCATGTTGCTCCATGTGTCAATAGTTCAAATAGTTCAATCTTCTTTATCGCTAAGTAGTACTGTTATATCAATATACCAGCAATGTGTGTACCCATTCACTCTATATAAGACATTTGGGTTGTTTTCAGTATTTTCCTGTTTACAAATAAAGCTGCTATGAACATTCACATATACACTGTTATGTGACCATAAGTTTTAATTTCTCTTAAGATATCTTAGGAGTGTGACTGCTGAGTCATTCAGTATGCTCTACTTTCTAAAAAAACTGCCCAACTGTTTCCCTAAGATAATTTTTATGGAGTCAAATCAATTAGTCTTTTCATTTGTAATTTTTTAAATATTACCTGCTCTCATATATGCTTAACATTTAATAAACACTTTTATTTTCCTCTTTTATAATTTTAAACACTTATTTTTAATATATTATCCAGAACTTATTTTGGTATACAATGTAAAACAAGGATCTAAGTGATTTTTTTCCTAAACAGTTAAGAAATAATCATAACCCATTTGTTAAATAAACTTCCCCATGCTCATTAATTTATGATGGATTTTCTATATTTATTTAATTCTTAAATGCAACCTGTCAGGGTTACTTTGTTCCTCTGTGGTAAGGTCACAAGACAGATTTAACAGCAAAAGGAAGGACAAATAACCAAAGATCTAGAATAGGACTAGCTTATAAATAACGAATTGATACATCTTATAATTCACAGTTGCCAAGTTAGATATATGAGGAAAATGTCTGCTACAAAATACAAGTTTTGCAAGCTAGAAAAAAAAATTATTTTCTTCCAATTCTCAGACTAAAGTTTTCTATATTCCAGCTTTAGAATGAAGGTACTTAGAAATCACATAATGAGATTTAGAGTTTAAGAAAATGAGGCAAACTGGTAACTTTCCCAAAGTTCATACAGCTTCTTAGTGGAAAAAACGGTCCAGTCACCAAAAATTATTTGAAAGAAATGTACAAGTCAGGAAAAAGTAAAAGACTCCACTGTAATGCATCTACTTAAATTGTCTTTATGAAACCAGTACTGTAAAAATAAAATTGCTTTAGCCCTGAGATACTCTGCTGCTGCTTTAAAAAGGAAAAAATGTAAGATACTCGTAAGTTGTTTTTTTCTCTTCCCTTGTCTAATTGTCCTGGTGAGCTTTTCTAATGCTTAGTGTCCAGGGTAATTTGATCTCTAGCAGTTTTCCCTTAATTATGAAGTTCCTATTCTTTTAAAACACTCTGGCATTGTTATAGAGTATGGGGAAAGGAAACCTTGTATACACATACTCTGGTGGGAGTACAAATAGTTACAAGGCAATTTTTTTTTTTAAATCTAAAACAATGCTCCAAGGAGACTACCTATGCAAATCATACAACATTCCCACAATATCATATTATACAACCATTAATGATTCATTCCTTTTTCTAAAAGCATTCACAATGATGGAGACAGGTCAAAAGGACACAAAAGCCAGATTGAAGGGAATCCTTCTAACCAAATCAGGGACAATTTGAGCATTAAAATAAAGAATTGTAACCTACTGAATAAAATAATCTTAGTCCTCACAGATGTAAACATGCAAGTGAGCATACTGAAAAGTAGATGAATAGGATATCTGCATAGTTTCAAAGTGCCTCCTACAATATACTTAATTGCAAAGAGAAAAAAGATAACTTCAAGTGATCAACATGATCACCATCAGTAATGAGAACACTGAACTCATGCACCACCTGACAAGAAGCAATGAGAATACAGAAATATTTCTGGAATATTCTTGTCAAAATAGATTTGTTTCCACCAAGAAAGAAGCCCAAATTGAGAGATACTTATGAACTAACTAGCCTGTAATATTGTAATATTTAAAGTATCCAGGTGGTCAAGATTATGCCTGTAATCCCAGCACTCTAAGAGGCTGAGGGAGAAGGATTACAAATTCCTGGTTTTTAGGATTAACTTTTTTTCCTTTTTGAAGGTTCAGTAACTGAACTCCTTTTCTATCCTAGGGGTATTCAGGGATTTAGCAAGACCCTGTCCCAAAATAAAAAACAAACAAACAAAAGACTGGAGATGTCACTCAGTGTGAAAAGCCCTGGGCTCAATGCCCAGTACCACTCCCAAAACATACACTGTATCAAGGACATGAAAGTCAAGGCAATTCTGAAGAACTATTTCATATTGAGAGACAACAAATTAATGTAACACTTGGATTTTCAACTGGATTCTTTCTGTAAAGTTCATTATTAGGATTAGGATGATTATAAAACCTGAAGGCCAGGATTAGATAGCAGCAATGTTAATTTCTTGCTTTTGATAATAGTACTGTAGTTATATAAGAGAATGCCCTTGGTTGTAGGAAACAACAAAATATTTGGGAGTGATGGGGGCATCAGGTTGGCAACATAGTCTCAAATTATTCCAGGAAAAAAAAGTTGGTAGCACTTAACTTGCAATCTTTTGTAAGTTTGTGATTGTTTCAAAACAAAAATTAAAAAAATTTAAAAGTATTCAGGGAATTATGTCTCCCTTTCCCTCCCTCCCTCCCTCACAGGCGATGGAACCATTGAGCTAAATCCCGGGCCCCATATATGTCTCTATTTAAATACACAAATTTAAAAACAATGTGTTTCTTTTTTTTAAAAAAAAAAATGGCTACAGGGCTGGGGATTTAGCTCAGTGGTTTTGCCGCCTGCTGTGCAAGCACAAGGACCCGAGTTCCATCCCCAGTACCAAAAAACAAACAAACAAACAAAAAAAAGTGGCTACATACATACACATAAAATTTACCATTTTAGCCATCTTAAGTATATAGTTCAGTGGCATTAAGTGCAATTATCTTGTTGTGCACTGTCACTATCTCTAGAAACACACTGTTTTACTTTCTAAAATATCAAAATCTCTCCTGTATCTATTAAACAATTAGTCTCCAGGCTTATTTCACTTAGCATAAAGTCTTCAGAGTGTATCATACTGTATATAGCACATCTCAGAATTTCATTCCTTTTTAAAATTAAATAATACCACAATGTATGCATATCCTACAATTTTTTTATCCATTTGTCAACAAGACACTTGGGTTGCTTCCACCTTTTAGCTATTGTAAATAAATGAGCATAGATATATAACATATCTTATTTCAAAAGCTTTTTATTTTGAAATACTAACAGAATAAAAGAAAGTTGTGAGTTCTGTGCACCTCTCAAGCCAGACCCCAGTAAAGGTGATACCTTATGTAGCTCTAGTACAATAGTAAAATGAGAAACTGGCAGTGTTAATAAACATTACTGTTAACAGATCTTATTCAGTTTTTATCAGTTAAAAAATAATATGTATTTATTTGTGGTAGTGTGCAGTTCTGTTTAATTTTATCTCCTATTGCACCATCATCATCATACAGAACTGCCCCTCCCCACCCTCCATTCTTGTCTATTGGCAACCACTAATCTGTTCTCTATATCCAGTTTTGTCACTTGTTACATAATCATACAGTAGGTAACCCTCTGATGTTGACTTTTTTCACTTAGTATAACACCCTTGAAATCTGTCCTGGTTGTTACGTGTATCAATAAGTCAGCCCCTTTTACTGTTGAGTAGAGTTCCATCACTCAGATGTACTAGGTTGTTCACCTATTTACCTGGTAAAGGGCATCTGTTTCCAGCATTTTACTATTATAACTACTATATATAATAAAGATACTGAGGACATTCAGATACAGGTTTCTGTATAAATGTAAATTGCCATTTCTCTGGGATAAATGTGCAAGAGTGCGATTGCTTATAAAGTACATGCTTAGTTCTCTAAAAAGCTGCCAAACTTTTGATTTTCCAGAGTGGTGGTATCATTTTACACTCCCATAATATCACTCACTCATTTATTTATTTGCAGTACTGGAGACTGAACCCAGGGAGCACTGAGCTACGTCCCCATCCTTTTTTATTTTGAGATAGGCTGGTCTTGAACTTTCAATCCTCCTGCCCCAGCTTCCCAAGTTAGCTGGGATAACAGGTATGAGCTGCTAAGCCCAGCTTATAATATCTTATTTTTAAAGAACCATCTGAGATGTCTTTTTTGCTAACAATCCTTTTTTTCATTTTTTTTACAGTGCTACAAATCAAACCCAGTACCACTTTAGCCCAGCACTCTACCACTAAGCTACATTCCCAGCACCTACCATAATCAATGGTTTACTGCTTTTTCCAAAACCTTTTCTTGTTTGAAAAAATTGGAATAATTTATTAGTTCAAGGCATATTTAAAAATCAGTTGTCAATGCAAATACAAAGATCTGAATCAGGAAATTTGTAACCAAGGAAACAGCACAAGAAGTTTCTCTTTTCCTCCCACCTTGGCAAGGTACTACTCTTTCTTCTTCTAGGTGAGAAAGTTCTATCATCCTTCCAGATGATAGGACAAACCTGAGCAGCTGCATATTCCTCTTGCAGGCCTTGGCTTTAGCCCAACTTACCATTCAGAAACCTAAGAGAATGTGACTCCTTATAAAGTTTCAGCTAACTATCCAATGTGGAGGTGGCTCAAAACTTTGTAGAAAATTCTTGCATCTAGGCCAACTCTACTTCAATTAAAAAAAAACAAACTCTTATGTTAATGGAAGAACTTACAAGTTAAGTTTAACTTAGATAATACTTTTTTTAAAACCCCCCAGAAAATATGGGTTTTAAATAACTGCTTCTACTTAACAGAGGAAAAAAAAAAAACCACGACAGGATGGATGAGCCCTACTATCATACTGTGCCTGGCACACAGCAAGCTCATTGTTTACTTCATCCTTTCTGCTGCACTACCTACTCCACACAAGGTATACCAATCAGTCATCCAATTTCTTTATAACCTGAACAAAGGAGCACAAGTACACATATGTGTAAGGGGTTGTGTTCAATTTCCTTTTTTTTTTTCTTGTACCAAGGATCAACCCAGAAACACTTTGCCACTGAGCTACCATACAACCCTAGTCCTTTTTATTTTTAATTTTGAGACAAGTTCTCACCAAGTTGCCCAGGCTGGGCTTGAATTTGCAATCCAACTGCCTCAGTATGCCAAGTAGCTTGGATTACCAGCATGCACTGCCATGGCTGGCTTCAATTTGCTATTTTTATGCCTGGTTATTCCAGGACCTATCAGGAGAGAATGAAAATGCGGCTACTGTCTTGGCAGCCAGGGCTCTTGTAAGCCACAGTAAATGCAAATAGTTCATATGAGGATCTCATGATTGGGGAGTTAACGGAACATGCTAGAAGTAATACAAGGAGATGGAGAATCTGAGCAGACCTTTTGTTCTTTGGAGATGTGTCCATAAGAAATCACATCCTTATAAGAAGACCAGAGGACAAAACAGTATTTAAAAATGCAAGTCAAAGCACATCTTCAGGGTTATAAATCAGGTAGATCAGAGTTTGAGGTTTGGGAATTGTGGTATAGTAAGTGTGAAATAAAGGAGTCAGGGCACCAACAATTAGCAATGGACTTGAGCTTTGCACAAGATTCACAGCCAGGGAAGCAGAGCACATAGTAAGTAAAAGTGATTCACTATAAATCTTATACCAGAAGAGAAGCTATGCTTCTTAAGGATTTCTGGCCTAAAGTCTAAAATAGTCATGGAAACAAGGAAATGATACATCTGTGGGCTCTGGAGCCAAGAGGTAAGATGGGCTTAGGAAGACAAAGGAAAGAAAGAAGGAAAAGCATCAAATCTTATATGAAACTATTCGGCCACGGAAAAATAGTTTCAAGAACAAAGTTGAAGAACAAATTTAGATTACCAGATATCTTGGTTTATTGCCCACGTGGTCATATGATAACAAAAATGCATTGCAGTGTACAGGGAAAGGTGGACTTTTCAACAAATTATGCTACATTAACTGTTATCCACACGGGGAAGGTCTTTGATTCTACCTAACATCTTACAAAAATAAGCCCAGAAAGATTATAGGCCTAAATGTGAAAAGTCAAAACAATCAACTTTCCAGAAGATAAGAGATTATTTTCACAACCTTAGGGAAGGCAAAAACATTTCAAACAACACACAGAAAGCACTAATCATGAAAGAAAAGACTGATAAATTGATAAACGCCTTTTCATCAAAATAACACCATTAAGAGAGTTAAAAAGCAAGCCACTGCTTGGGAGAAGATATTTGCAATACATGAAATTGCCAAAGAACTCATGTCCAGAATATATAAAGAATTCCTACAAATCAATGTGAGAAAACTCATTAGGAAAATGACCAAAATATTTGCACAGGTATTTCATGAAAGGGGAGATCCAACTGGACAGTAAGCACATGAAAAGATATCAGGGAAATATATACCCAACCCACAATAAGAGACAATTATACACTCACTAGAATGGCTAAAATTAAAACAAAATTATTCTAACCATAACCACTTTGGCAAGATGCAACAAGAATTCTACTTTTGGGAGTACTGGGGATTGAAACTCAGGACCTTGAGCTTGCCAGGCAGGCACACTGCCACTGAGCTACATCCCCAGCAAGAATTCTTAAACTTTATTGGCAAGAAGGTAAACTGGTCTAAGTATTTAGAAAACTATTTTGACAATATCTGCTAAAACTATCTAAAATTTTCAGTACCTGGCACACTTTTTGCAGCATTCAATAAATTATCAACCATCATTACATTTTAACTTTAACTGTGTCTCAAATAATCTACCTATTACAAAAACATAGGTCAATGTTTGCTTGGTTGGAACATCCATATGACTTTCTAGATTTTAAAAGGTCACTAGAAGAGTAAGTCATGCAAGAATCATAACTACACTAAGGACAGATGAAGTTGATTTCATTGCTAATTTTTATAATCAATCCCTAGAAAATATGCAACGTGACTCATATAAGTAAACAGTATTTCATAGGCTTGGGTGAGCCTGATGACAAACCGAATTTAAACCTCTAGGTTAAAGGACTGAAACTATAATTTCTACACTTACCCGAACTGTGACAGTCTGTTAAGTGATGGAAGCTCTCAAGAATAGAAAAGTACATCCAGAAGTTCTCACAAATGTCTTGAAGTAAACTGGATATCTCTCCCAGTCAGTTAGAGAAAAGACTATAAGAATAAATGGTTATGAGAAGATGCCTGGTTAGGATGGAAAAGATTCTTCACAGGTAGAAAATACAAGTATTTCCTATATATTCCTCAGAGATAGTTAGTCCTTGCCTCCTTCCTATTATCTCATATCCACACAAAGTATTGTCCGTTCTACTGGCCCCTGGGCTTACATTTGGTGGTGATGGTGTTAGTATTTCTAAGTAAGAGGTCCTCTTAGGAATCTCCCAGAATCAAACATCTAGACTTTCTTCCAGACAAGCTAAAAGTTTACAACCCACACTGCTCACCAGAGAGAAACTCTCATCCTTTACAGAGCAACAGTCTAGCTGCATCAACTGTGAATATCACCTTTTAAGCCTGAAAGGCCTAGATTACAAAATCCCACTTGACCCACAACCCTTCACTCTTTACTTACTTTCCTGACTGGGGTGGCAGGTGGATAGGACCACAAGTAGAAAGGATACTGATAAGAAAAGGGAGAAGAAAGACAAACCATTTTATCTGAAGTCATGAGACTAACTCTGATAGTACAACTCTGATAGTGTGTGTGTATATATATATTTTTTTTTCTTTTTTTTTTCTGGTACCAGGGATCGAACTCAGGACCTTGCTCTTGCAAGGCAGGCATGGCACCACTGATCTAAATCCATGGCCCTAGCACGGTATATTTAAGGGCTTAGAAACATACACAAATAACTAGCTTTTTATCATAGTATGTCTGAGGTTTATACTTAGTGACTTATTAAAAGAAAAAAATCTGTATTTTTTTTAAAAAAGGTGAATAAAAATGTTATACAATTAACATCAGTTTGCATTACAAATGTTGCTTGATATTGCAGAAGCTCAAATTCTTTGAAATCTTTACTTGTAATATCCTTATGGGGGGCTGGGGATTTAGCTCAGCGGTTCTGTGGCCTGCCTTGAAAGTGCAAGGTCCAGAGTTTCATCCCCAGTACCAAAAAAAAAAAAAACCACAATGAGAGACAATTTCACATTCTTTGAAATCTTTACTTGTAATATCCTTATGGGGGGCTGGGGATTTAGCTCAGCGGTTCTGTGGCCTGCCTTGAAAGTGCAAGGTCCAGAGTTTCATCCCCAGTACCAAAACCAAAAAAAAAAAAAAAAAAAGACTGGAAAATATCCTTATGGGAATATGAAGATTCAAAATCTACTGTCCATGAATCTGCCCACCTAGCCTACATTTCTGGTCTGCTTAAGAGTCATAAAACAGAAGCTGGTGTGGTGGTGCATACCTGGTAATCCCAGCAGTTTGGAAGCTGAGGCAGGAGGATTGAGAATTTTAAATTAGCCTAGGCTATGTAGCAGGTTTCAGGCCAGCTTGGACTACATTGTGTGATCCTGTCTTAAACAAACAAACAAACAAATGAAAACAAACCAGAAGAGAGAGCCCCTCCTTTAAGCCATATAAAGATTTGTATTTTAGTTTTCAATATATCTAAAGGACTGTGATACTATCTAAATTTTAAAATCTACAATAATGATATTTTTTTTTCTCTTTTTGGGTCATTTGTTCTCAGCATATTACCTCTACAGGGGCTAGTAAATACAGTCCCTAAAAGTAAAGAATTGACAATGGTTTTTATTGGTATTTATTTTTAGGACCATCTTTTCAATATAGGCTGCAAACTTTAGGCCTACTTACTCAAACTTCCACAGTATCAAAGCTGAATTACTTTAAAAAGATCTCATAACCAACTTGCCAACTTGAAAACAAAAATTCAAGGTATCAGTGACATCAATTGTATGTCAATGTCACAAACTGCATAATAACATGCAGTATCATTTAAGTCATTTGTTAAATATTCCATATGTGTGTGCTCTTTGCTTACATCAAGATATTTTTGTGTGCTTACTGTTTCCATATTAGAAGAGCACTCATAAATTATCTCATTTAGTCCTTATACCATCATGAGGTATAAGTTATCTTCATGTGACAAATGAAGAAATAAAAGAGTTTAATTACATGCTAGTCAAATATCTGATAACTGACTTAAAATATTGCAGAAATGACTGATTATAAATACTCAAATTATAAGAATTCTCCCCAAAAGGTTTCTGAATGACTCAAAAAGGTTTCTGGTCCTTCTCCAATAATTTGGAAGGAGAAAGATAATTTTCACAAGCTAAAATGAATTATAACTAACAAAAATATCAAGAAGAAAATATCATTTCAGTATGGACATAACAAATGTGAGTGAATAATAAAAATAAGCAGGAAAATATCTGTACACTTATGTTGATCATCCTCAGAAAGCCAGACTACTAAAAATGACAAAATTTTCTGTCTTCCTGGTTTTGACATCAATAAGGACAATTCACAAAAGTACAAGTATCATGTGCATAACGTTAATTACAATATGAGCAACTATACATATTCACTCTTCAGGTGCTAATTACCTTGTCAAACAGCAGTAAGAGTCATTTTAAAGAAGCTGGTTTTCAGGGCAGGGATTTAGCTCAGTGGTTCTGCTGCCTGCCTCGCAAGTGCAAGGTCCTGAGTTCGATCCCTGGTACAAAAAAAAAAAGCTGGTTTTCAAAAATTCTATGAAAAGGTTTTCCTTTAAGTGAACATTTTAACCCACACAAATCCAAAATAACATTTTATTTATGTTTGGGTATATCACTTCATAAAAAAGTTAAAGAATATAAATAAACTCATTAGATTGCACCAGGGATTGAACCCAGAGCTTTTCCACTGAGCTACATGCCCAGTCCTTTTTTACTTTTTTATTTTGAGACAGGTTCTCTCTCAGCCTACTGGAGTTCCTAGATTATATATGTGGGCCACCACACCCAGCTTAGATTGTTCTAACTTTTAACTTGTCACATCAACTGACCATATTTGAGAGCTTACTAGTTATCTTCCCCCAAAACTACTTCAATTTGAAATTTAATAAATAACACTGATAAAAAGGGCAACAAAACAGAAGCAGCAGTGAAGACGGATGCATTAGCCTTTGGAAAACAAATTTTTCCCTAGTGCCCTCTGCTTCTATTGTATAGCAGCACAATAAATTAGCCGCTCTACCCTCATACCCCCAAAACTTTACAATGCAAACAATCTAAAAGGCAGGAAAGCCTAGGTTGATTTTATGTCTCTTCACTAAATTCTTTTTTTTTTTTGGTACTGGGGATTGAACTTGGGACCTTCTGCTTGCCCCACCCCAACTAGATTTCAATAACCCTACCTCTGGTCTCTTAGTGCTTTACCAAAGTAAGGAAATATACAAGTTCAATCCAAGTATATAAGTGTGATCTGAGGGTGGCTGGCCTGAAAAGTGATTAGTATGAAAGAAAATAAATGCAATCCTTTGTGCTGCAAAGTATCTGAAGAAAAAAACATTGAGAATGGTAGTATTTAATGCTCAAGCTGGGGGAAAATTGTTAAAGGACAAAAATTTGTGTGTTTTAAACAAACCTGCTAACATAAATATTTGCTTTGACTTAGGACAACTTCTCACCATAAGTGGAGAGGTTAGCTAGTGTTACCAGCACATGATGCTACTCTGGAAAGTCCAACTAATTTCCCATGATCTCTTTATCTGCTCCTCAGCAACTTTCTACAGCTGTTCATGAAAATTGTCCCACAGAAAATTCTACAATCAGCTGACACGAAAAGCTGACATGCTTTGAAAGAAAAATTTCTGTACAATTTTAAATTAGCATTTTGGTCAAGACTGATGAGTTAAACCTCAAAAGCCTGGGGTAGTCTGAGGAAAACAAAAAACAAAAAACCCTCCAAATTCCAAACCAACTTAAATTCACAAAGTACTTTGTGGACTTCAAAAATAAAGATACAGGGCCAGGGATTTAGCTCAGTGGTTCTGCTGCCTGCTTTGCAAGCGCAAGGACCCAAGTTCAATCCCTGGTACAAAACAAAACAAAACAAAAAACCAACTCAAATCTGTAACTAAAAGATGAACACCCTGGCAGACATTTGGCAGCTGCCATTCATCTGACATTGCTGTTCTTTATACAATCATAAACGCTGGGTAACCTAAAATTCACAAACATGGCCTATGCAACAGCCAATTCACCTCACATATCTAAGTTTTTGCCAGATGCTCTTAGTTTTACTTTATTCTGTTCTCTGACTAGCCACCAATTAAAGAAAAAAAGATGACATAGAGGCATATGAAATGATAGAAGAGAAAATAAACCATCTGTATGTGAGCCATATAGATTAAAAAAGGTGACATTTTTGGGAGGAATTATCATAAAACAAAGCTTTGCTCAAATAGTGCTCATGAGTGTAAGCATGTGACACATTCAGGTAATGTCACAAGTGAGCCTACCTGTACTGATAAACCCATGAAAACTATGGAAGGAATTCTGTGGCAAACAGATTTCTAGCTGTTTGACCTTTAATGGTGTTTTTGCTTGGTTTAAAGTTTTACTGTTTCCTCAGAGACAGAAAGACTAAAGGCTAAAAAAAAAAAAAATAGGCACCATTTATTACTTGCAACACAGCAAATACTTTTGGGTGAATTTTTTTAAAGCATACATACATAAAATATGAACATTTTGGAAAATTCTAATGATTTTTCACTTTCAAAAGGTATTGTATTTATCAACTGTTTAGGTTTGCTAAAATTAAATTTTTTGGTGCAGAATCTATGATGCAAAAAATTTCTAAAAGGTACTACTGGTTGGTATATATA